CGGCATGCCGACCACAAGTTCAAATCGATCACATTGCCAGCAGTTACCGATGGCGCGGATCAATAGCTGACTGGCGGTCGTTTTGGAACATATTTGTGTATTCCGACCACGCACTCGTCCGGATGCATTTCTCCCTATCTTTTTTCTAGGACCGCCTAAGGACAAATCGCCTGGCAACTGAGACTGCGAGACCCGGGCCTCCTCCAGATGCCCCACCATCCGATGTTAACTCATACTGGGACGAGATTGACTGCTCTTCCCATGGTGTTGGGAATTTTGCCTGTGGCACGGCATCACCAGGCTCACTCAAGCACTGGATATCACACTGGATAGTGGCACTCTAAATCTCGGAGAAATATCCCAACCTGCTCCGAACAAAACTTGATGTGGCGATGTCAAGTAAACGTGTGCGTGCGAGCCGACCGTGAAGTATGGTGGACACAAAGCCAGGGAGATAGGAGAGGCCCAGAAAGCCGGGAATGCTGGAAGATTATTTCAGTTGATCCGTACGACCGAGCCCCGGAAACCATCTGTGAGGGCGACCATCAACGATCGGAATGGAGTGAACATCTCGAATAAAGAACTCCTCGAAAGATGGGCCGAATACTTCTAACAACCATTGTCGTGGTCACCAGCTGACACCCGTCTGGAGCCCACAGATAACGTAAAACCCTGGACGGTGAACCTGGAACCGCCTATGGCCTCGGAGGTTTATGGCTATATATGTTCTCGCGCGCCACGGGCCTTTGGTCTCGATGCCCTCCCATCCGCATTGTTCAAGGATGGGGGTGAAGTCCTCAGTCATCGCTTGTCTGATTGTTTGCTTCGATGATAGCACCTGCTTCTTTTTTGACAGCAGAATGGTTTTTCACGCTTGGAGGAAAAAGCGACCGGCCGGTTACCCTCGTTCAGGGATTCACCAATAGCGACTGGACGCATTACTTTCGACGACGAGAGGAATGTTGTAGTAGACAGTAATGACCATCGCATTCTCTACTTCGTGCTTAAGGTTCTCAAGTGCTGTTCGGACATTCTCCGGAAGCAGAAATATTTTACTTTTAACCGGTGTATGAATTTTGTCAGAAAACGCCAGTATCTGTTGTGAATAGTGAGCGAACAGACCAACGGCTCTTTGCTGTGATTTTCCGTTAGAATTGTGAGTGAGTTCTCTTATAGGGTGCATGCGTACTGGATCAGGTTTCATAATACCTTTGGATGCCTTGTAACCCAAAAGAGGGATCTGCTTTCCTCAACCCGACAACGTTGTTATTGGACTGCAACTTCCTGAGGGCGCCACGGGCCTTTGGTCTCGATGCCCTCCCATCCGCATTGTTCAAGGATGGGGGTGAAGTCCTCAGTCATCGCTTGTCTGATTGTTTGCTTCGATGATAGCACCTGCTTCTTTTTTGACAGCAGAATGGTTTTTCACGCTTGGAGGAAAAAGCGACCGGCCGGTTACCCTCGTTCAGGGATTCACCAATAGCGACTGGACGCATTACTTTCGACGACGAGAGGAATGTTGTAGTAGACAGTAATGACCATCGCATTCTCTACTTCGTGCTTAAGGTTCTCAAGTGCTGTTCGGACATTCTCCGGAAGCAGAAATATTTTACTTTTAACCGGTGTATGAATTTTGTCAGAAAACGCCAGTATCTGTTGTGAATAGTGAGCGAACAGACCAACGGCTCTTTGCTGTGATTTTCCGTTCTGTAGAATTGTGAGTTCTCTTATAGGGTGCATGCGTACTGGATCAGGTTTCATAATACCTTTGGATGCCTTGTAACCCAAAAGAGGGATCTGCTTTCCTCAACCCGACAACGTTGTTATTGGACTGCAACTTCCTGAGGTTACAGTCAGTGATTTGTGTTTGCCATTTTTGGCTCTCTGTGTACTTACGACACTTATATGTGTAGTACATGGTATTGAATATTCATTCTTGCCAGTCACTTTCACACCTGACCCAGTTATTCGCTCAGCTGTAGCATCCTTTCGGTGCCTAACTGCCATGCCACGCGAAGGTTGCACGATGGTTGATCCAGGTTGCCCAAGCCTAGGCAGGGGAGTCGAGAGGCAGAGGTTGGGTTCGAACCACAGACCTTCCGGTCAGTAATTTCGCGCTCTAACCACTTGGGCCATCCCGTCACGAAGAGACTGAACCTTGCCGTGGTGTAACGGTTTGCGCACCTCAGCGATTCATTGAGCTATACTGGGGAATGTCCTCGTGACACTCAGAGTCTCTCATACCAGGTTGGTTAATGGTTAGAGCTCTGACGAACACAGTCCCCTGGCCCTCCAGGTTGAGGGTTGGAACATGTGGCGACTTGTTCCGTAGAAATGGTAATGCATTTGCATTTCCCGCCAAACACCGCTGCCTTGCAGTTAGGCTTTTGAGCCAAAGACTTTGGTTGAGGACCCTAATCGTCCTCCTGTCTAGGTGTGGGACCCCTGGCAGTATCTCAGCCCACGTACAGCCATGAACTGCACATACACAAATAAATTCATGCCACATCGGCGGTCGCGTGATGCCATCAGCCGGATCGCCTCACAGCCTGAATACAGCAGGGCGGGTAAGCGAAAACAGGCTACTGCTGACGCCCCCTTCTTTCTTCAAATACTTTTTCTTCCCCCTCTCCCCACCCCATTAATAACTCTCCTCTTACATGCCCAGCACCTAGGACTGATAACTCCGTTCGTTACGTGCAGCACCTGCTCGTCACATAGCGCCGGTGGGCTGAATACTTTGAGCAACAAATGTCTTGGCCACCAGCCAGCACTCATCTGCAGCCCACAGGTGAATTAGAACCCTGGACGGTGAACGTAGAACCGCCTACGGCCTCGGAGGTTTACGACTGCATATGTTCTCTCAAGCGCCACCGAGCTCCCGGTCCGGATGACCTCCCACCTGCACTGTTCAAAGACGGGGGTGAAGTCCTCAGTCAGCGCCTGTCCGACTTGTTTGCTTGCATTTGGGAAAAGGAGTCTGTCCCAGACAACTGGGGAGAATCGGTGATAGTGCCCATTTTCAAAAAAGGGGCGCGTAGTGAGTGTGCTAACCGCAGGGAGATCAGCTTGACCCCGGTTGTAACGAGACTGTTGGCGTCAATTGTGCTTCGACGCCTTACGGTGGCTCGTGAGATGCTGACTCGAGAGCAGCAAGCGGGACTCCGGCCTGGTAGGGGTTGTGTTGACCAAATCTTCACACTGCGTCAGGTGCTAGAACAACGCCATACGTATAAGCGACCCACAATTCTAGTATTCCTGGATTTCCGAGGCGCATTCGACTCGATTGA